CAACGTGGATGGATCTAGAGACTATAATGCTAGGCGAAGTCAGTCAGAGAAAGACAAACACTACATGATGTCGCTCATATGCGGAATTTAAGAAACAAAACAGACAAAGAAAAAAAAAAGAGACAAACCAAAAAACAGACTCTTAACTCTAGACTGATGGTTGTTACCAGAAGGATGGCAGGTGGGGGGATGGATGAAGTAGGTGATGGGGACTACGAGCACACTTGCTGTGATGAGCACTGAGGAGTATACAGAATAGTTGAATCGCTGTGTGGTGCACCTGTATATAACACTGTATGTTAACGATACTGAAACTAAAAAAAGAAAGAATATATATGAGAGAGCATTCTATGCCTCTTGGAAGAATGCACAGTGCAAACCAAGGGCAAGTGCATGTTTACGGCAGGGCACCTGGGCTCCACACTGATTTAAAGGACATAAGATGGCATCGGCCCGTGCCTCAGCTTCCCCATCAATTAAGAAGGGCAAGCAGCATCTATCTCAGAGCTGTCCTACTAGCACCTGGGGATTCTAAATTCTTAGCAGTCCAAAATGTGCAGAATTATGCCCTGCAAAGCACTTGTTTTGAGAACTAGCTTATTTGTTATATAGATTTTTATTTATTTATTTGACAGAGATCACAAGTAGGCAGAGAGGCAGGCAGGGGGCGAGGAGAAACAGGCTCTCCACTGGGCAGAGGGCCTGAGGTGGGGCTCAATCCCAGGACTCTGAGATCATGACCTGAGCGGTAGGCAGAGACTTAACCCACTGAGCCACCCAGGCGCCCCAAGAACTAGGTTATTTTAAGAATTTTCCTATTTTACTGTAAATGCTAATCATATATTCTTTTATTTCAAAAGCTCTCTAATCTGCTCTACACACACCCCAAGATCTGAGCACGCTTTGTAATAATAATTTTAAAGCCACAGAATTTCTATCGTCAGCGTATCTGAGATCTCTTCAAGACAGAATGACAAACTCAGTGACTCTGGCAAGGTGGGGATTTTGGTCATGTAGTCATGGAGGAAGGCAAGAGCAGATTCGGAAAACACTGTGGGGTCTGATATCCCTCATGTACCGTCCACCCCACTTCCGCCCTCTCTCCTGCGCTGCCCATTCCCCGATGCCCTGCATATCCTATGTCCCGGGTCTCTGCTCATCCTGTCTCCCTTCGGGGCACAGATCAAGGCTATAGCAAGTATTTACATTTTTTTCATTCTTAAAGATGCCAAAAGTTAGATCTCTAATGTGCAAGCTTGACAGAGTGAGACAAGAATTTAGAGCCTTTCTCAATACCCAAGTAGATAATTACCCACTCATAAATCCAGCCCCGGAAGGACGCCGTTCCGCCGTGGGAGGAAATATGGCTGCTTGTCCACTTCAGCATCGTCGGCAGGGCGAACACTGTGTCAGAGAATCCCTCCTCTAGGTCACTTCACTATAGAATAGGGAGGAGTGAACACAGCTACTGCAAGGAATGACTAGAGATTCTGGGACATAACAGCCCCTGAAAGACATTTTAATTGAACACCCCTTTGGGGGGGGTCCCAGTCATGTACATGCAGAATTCTGTGGCAGTTGGGGGAAAGGAGCCTACAAGATGTCCGGAAGGAATCAGAGCAGTTCTTTCAGACGCTACAAAAACTCTCAAGTGGAAGAAGAAAAGGCGTGACGACTGGGACAGGGAGCCAACATTTAATGAATGTTTCTTACATCGGGAACTTTCCATGGAGTAGATGTGTAATGTGCAGCTTGAAATCCCCAGGGCACAAGCCATGAGCAGGGGACTGAGTAGTCCCCTGTGCTCTGCCTTCCCCTCATACCTGTTGGCTCCCATGGAGCCATCTTTTCTGCTTCAGACAGCTTTGGGATACAACTCATGGTCTGGTCTTATCAGGTGCCCATCAGCTAAACTGACATGCCCACAAGCCAAGGAGAGCTCATGCACAGTTCCGAGCTACGGAGATGTTAAAGTAGAGGGAGTCGGATTTACTCTCTATCAGGGACACTGGGGAAGGAATTCCAGCAGTAGATGGGAAGTGTAGGCTCTAGAATTAGAAAGGATCCCAGTTCAGTGCTTTCCTGGTTTGGCCCAGTTGCTTCATCTCTTTGAACCCTCATCTCTCCAACTGTTTATGAGTGTTAATAAAGCCTTCTTACTGCAGCTATTGTAAGGTTAAACAGATGTATATAAAAAGCTAACATATGGGAGGTACTTAATACATGCTCTCTCCCTACCTTTTCAGCTCAAGGCTTCAAAACCTCTTCTACGTATCAGGGAAGATACATTACAAACCCGGAAAAGGCAAAAAGGCCTACTTATCCCATGACTACAAGCCCAAATTAGAGCTAGTTCATCGGCTTATGACTTAATCATTGCTGTTTTTAGTTGTAGTTTACAGAGAATTTTTCATGGACTTCAATGGTAATGATAAGTGGGCCTCATCGGTCATTTGCGCCGTGGTGTAAATGAGTTTAAGATGCTTCTCCTAAGAGCAGGTTTTGCGAGGAGGGGGGAAAATGGCACCAGATTCCCAACATCTGGGGGCAAACCATATCTGAGGTACTGGTGTGTCCCGTATATCCATTTTTATGTTCCCTTTTGCCCATGGATTATCAACGTGAAAAGCTTTTTACTATACAGAAGCATACTAAGCATACCAACAACGACTTTGGTTAATAGTTGAGCAAAACCACGAGGACTAATTGGTTAAAAAAAAATACTGTGTTTGTGCAAAAATGCCTTGTTTATATACCCCTCAAGCCTCAATAAAAAGATTATAATCACAATTATGGATTCCATCAGAGGTTGCCTTAAAAAGTAAATGTACAATGTAGATGGAAATGAAACATTTAGGCAATTATTTGCTTTCACCAGAAGATATAAAGTTTTATTTTCAACATGTAATATGAAGATATTTCTTTAGCTCCCACCTTGAATACTAGAAGAAGATATGCTATTACTTATATGAGTAGAATGGTGAACGGCTGAAAGCAACTTTTATTTACTCAACACAGAGGGGATAGAATTACGAAACAACTTCTCAGAGATCACGACCTGAGCCAATTCAGACGCTAACTATCTGAGCCACCCAGGTCCAGAAACAGCTTCTTATTAAGAAATAAAGGAGGTTTTAGCTTTTTCAAATTGCAAAATGGGTGTTTAGTTCACTTCCTCCTGTGTTTTCTGCAGGGCCCTGCAGATTATAACTGAATTTGCTTTACTTCTCTGTACCTCAGGTCACTAAAGAGCTGAATCCACTCTCCTCACTGGGACCAAATTGTCAAGTAACATGACCCCAGCATTCTTGTCTCACTGAGGGTGATGTTCCAGAAAGCAGTGAGTAAGATCAGAAGAATCATGGGCTTTTATTTTCTCTCTTTTCCTTCAAACTACTCACTTTATCCACATTCCTAACTCAGGTAAGTGAGGGTAGTCAAGAAGGGGTTGTCCATATGCCTTGAAAATACTTGAGTGAATCCAGTAAAAAGAGAATCTTAGAGACCAGAAAACTTAGGACTCTCTCTCAATTTACATGAGTTCAAATGTTTGAGTTCACACTTGTTTCTTGCTCTTAGGCTTATCCCCTAAATTATAATGTATTTATACCAAGCAAAGAACTTTTTTTTTTTTTAGATATAGCTGACATATAACATTATAATAGCTTCAGGTATACAACACAATGATTCAATAGTTGTATATATTTCAAAATGATCACCACAGTGAGTCTAATTAACCCTTATCACCACATAGTTACACATTTCTTTCTCCTGATAACAACCTTTAAAGACCTATTCTCTTAGGAACTTTCTTTTTTTTTTTTTTTTAAGATTATTCATCATTTGACAGAGAGAGACAGCAAGAAGAAAGAACACAAGCAGGGGGAGTGGGAGAGGGAGAAGCAGGCTTCCTGTTGAGCAGAAAACCCAATGCGGGGCTTAATCCCAGGACTCTGGGATCATGACCTGAGCTAAAGACAGATGCTTAATGACTGAGCCACCCAGGAGCCCCTCTTAGGAACTTTCAAATATACAATACAGTGTTACTAACTGTAGTCACCATGCTGTACATTACCAGAGACCTTTTAAAGTACAAAATTTATGGACAACTCTCTAAACTTCAAGAAAAATGAAATTATTAATACCTGAAGTAGGAAATCTTTGAGCAGGGTTTTTTTTTTTTTTTTTAAAGAGCTAGTTAAAGTCGGTAGTTGTTGCATATGAGAATAATTGAACATTTCTTTTTTTGCTCACAAACGGTCTGGCTCCAACTAAAAACTTAGCATCCAAAGAATACTATGATGTGCAGTAGGACGGAAGCCTAGAGCCCATGCCACTTTAGTAGACTGTCCAGTCTTCTGTTAATAGCTGCACAATTTCCTGGCCAAGATCCTTGAATGGTTCTTAGAACCAGTCCTTCCTTTATATAAAGATCTGTCTCATTAAAGACCTTAGGGATTGGCTTAAGGTAAACAGAGGGGGAAAAATCACGTGAAACCAAAGCTGGAGGGTTGCAGAAAACATATTTCTATCTAGGGAAATTTCTGACTAAAAGTCAAGTGATCTGACAACGCAGTCCTTTGCCAAGCATTTCTACTACTGAGTTGTTTCTTGCCATTCATATTTATTGACTGCCAATCCTTATTTCAAGGGACTGAGTCACCTCAATGTTTGTGGGAAACAAACAAGGTATACATCAGTTAATCAACGAGAAAAATTTCTAATGGCTGACTTTCTATCAAAAACAGCTCAGAGTCTGAGTAAATCTCTGAAATGAAGAAAGTAGTTGACTCCCCTTCTCCCACACCCACCAACTCTTGTGAATAAAAGAAATGAGTAAATGGAAACCTAACCTGTGGCCAGTAAATAGCCCAAAAGCCTGGAAGTAACGTGCTCTTTCCTGGAAAAGATGACTCTCGTGACAAACTTAAAACAAAACATCCGCCACCGGCTGCGGAGAAGGAGAGGCATAATTGGGTCAAGATCCAGGAAATACTTACAATCATTATGAAGGTGCCCAAGAACTCAGAGATGGTTTCTTTAGCTAAGCTGCTCTTCAAGACCAGCCTTTGCTTGAAGCTTTTCCCCTTTCTTCCCTTCCCAGGCTGCATCGTGAGGTTTCTCCAAGGATCACTCTCGCCACCAGTACCCACTTCTTCTGGTCCCTACTTCACTCGCACGTGAAAATGGAAGTTTTGACAACTGCTCACAGGTTCCTGGAGATGTCTGGTGAGGTCCTCTGACTGTGCAAACGCTGTCCCAATTAGAGCCCGTGACTTAATCCTCTTCTGGTGAAATTGTCATCCCCTGTCCACGGCTGTTTATCTGACTTAGCAAGTTAGAATCTGAAATCCCCAAAACGATTCTTTTTGTGCCTTATAGATTAATCATTACCTTTATTCTCAAGGTATTTTTTTTTTCTCTGTTGGTTTTTGTTTTGTTTTGTTTTGTTTTTAAGAGATGAGAAAAGAGATGTTGTGCTCGTTGTATTGCCAAACCACGGCGATGGGCTCTGGTCCAGAAGAGATTTGCATGTTACACAATTGCAGGCTTCTGATTTTTTTTTCCCCTGTTCAGAGGTGGGTGGTTGGGGAGTAGTTTGGGATTATCAAATCAGGTATACATACATCCCGTGTAAACATTCTCTTCTGAAGGAACTTTTCATGCACGTTGGAGGATATGGAGAAAATACAGATGTGGTGTTCTGCAAGATAAAATCACTCTTGTTTTCTTCCAATATCATTTCAGTGATTTAATGATCCCTCCCTAAGGGGGGATAAAAACAATTGTATCCATTCTAGAGATGGAGAAATTAACATACAAAGTGACCACTGCAAGTTTCACATTGCAAGACTTTAGGACTCTCCTTCTTGATTACTGTAGCTGGGTTTCATCTACTGAGGACAGACCGGGATCCAAGAATCAGAATGACGGAGAGAGCAACTTGTTGACTTTCTTCTAAAGAAGGATTCCAGTTTGAGAACCAAGTTGTTCCCCTTCATTTTCCATGAACTATTTAAGCAAAATACATAGAAGATAAACTTGAAACCACACAGCTTGAAGATCAGAGAGACACCCCAGTTAAATAAGAAAGGGATTAAACACACTGAAACAAGGCTTCTAGGTTATATCATTTAAGTGTGATGAATTACCATCCTTGCAGACAACAGGCTGTTTAGGACTAGCATTCTGCCATGTCAACTTTCCAGCCTTGCTTCTCAAAACTAGTTTGTCTGAAGAGAATCCAGCAGTTGTTTCTGAATACCAAGCCAGTTTCATGAAATTAGTACCCATGCTCTGTGCTTCCTCCCAGTCCTCCCACAGAGAAGCCAGTTCTGTTTCAGGCCTTCCCCTCCCTTTGCAGGAGGCCTACAGTCATTTCCAGCTGAGGAGGCTGGCAGGCAGAAAGGGAGGAGAGATCTAGAAAAAACAGCTATTGAGAGCCTAAGTACATAGGAGATACCCAATCTATAGGTGAAACATAGAGTTGAGGCCTAAAGAAATTAGAGCTTGCCGGAGGGCATGCCATTGCAGAGCCAGGACAAGAATGCAGCGTTTCGGCTTTAACTCTTGGTTAAGTTATCATGGATACCTTTGTCTAGAAGGATTACTTATGACTGCCCTATTCCCAAGTCCCAGTGGACCGACCAGAGGAACAGGACTTCACGGCTGTGATGACAACGAACATCACACAAGGGTGTTCTTTGGTCTCTTCATTCACTCATCTAACAAATATTTATGGCATACTTATGTGCCAACCACTGCACTTACCAAAGCACACACTGTTCTTGCCCTTTACAGAACTCGGAGTCTAGTGAGGGAAGTAGGTATAGTGAAATAAATCACACACGCAGGAATATGATATCGCAACAGAGATGTACGCTATAAAGATGGAAGACACATTTCTATGAGCAAATAAAAGAGGGGGATTTCACCTCAACAGATATCTCTGATGGCTTCTCCGGGGAGGTCATGTCCGTGCTGAAATCAGAAGGAAGTGTAGGGTTTAACTGTATAAAGTGGGGAAGGAAGTGCACGTACAATGGCCTTGGGGAGTGGAGGTGGGAACGGTATGATGCCTATCCAAGAACAAAAGAAACCTACTGCTGGACGCCCAGAGACAGTGAAGGAACTTGGTGCAAAATGAGCCCGGAGCCATGGGTGGGAGTCAGACTGCACATACTGAGCCTATAAATCATATTCGGCTAAAAGCAATGATTAGTTGCACGGTGGTTCAAGCGAGAACGTGACACTACCAAATTTGAGTTAGAAAAAGAAATCATCCTGGCTGCGAGGTGGAACAGAGATTGAAGGGGGCCTAAAGCAAGCATTGGTAGACCTATTGGGGGAGATTACAGAATTCCAGGACTGCACCTATTGGGGGATATTATGGAATTCCAGGACTGGTGGCTTTGACAATGGAGAGAAATGGAAGAATTCAAGAGTTCTTTATATCTTAAAATTGGAAGAACTTGAAAGTTTGGCTATGGAAGGTGAGGAGAGGGACTCAGCAAAGTTGATTGCTGGGGAAGGTGGTGCTAAGTACTGGGAGAGAAAATACCCAGAGAGGACCAGGACTGCTGCAGCAGACCATGACATCTGCATGGGCAGATCAAGCCTCAGGGGCTCTCTGGTGCTTTGGAGAGAAGCCAGTGCGTAGGAAGGGATGCAATATTGGAGTCAGAGGAGAGGTCTGCGTGCTCATAGACATGATAATTGAAGCCAAGAATAAAGGTGAGCTTGCCTGAGGGCAGAATTTGAAGAAAGCAGAGGTTGAGTTTGCAGTATTGGACATTCCATGCTCATGTGGAGAATGAAATCCTTGTTATCTGATTTATTCTGCTTCCAGATGACAGTCACATTCTCTCCTGCCTCACCATGAACAACTTCTCAACAAGCGTAACTCACTCACACTCTCCTTTGTACCCTCACACCAAAGTTCCTATTGGAGATATAGGGGCACTTAATTTCACTCATTCATTCATCCATCCATCCATCCATCCATCCATTCCTTCATTCACTTACTCATTTAGAAAAAACTTTCATTGAGTATATACCATGTGTCAGATGTAGGGGACTCAAAAATTAGGAAAACAGATGTGTAGTGCTAAAGCATTATTATAATCTAAGTGACAAAGACTTCCAAATGAATATATCATATAGTAAGATAGAAGCATATGGAAAGCACTGAACTAAAATTCCCCCATCCCCACATGGACATCTGAGAGGTCACCGTACATTTCCAACATATTGACTCGTTCTGCCACCAAGAATTCTAGAACCATGCTTCCCTAGATGCAGTGCCATGTTGACTCTCCAGGGCCAGGCTACCCATTTCCTCCTGATTCTGTCACTCCCTGACACCAACGTTCTCTTCTTTTCTATCTGGTTGGACCTTGAGTAACCATCTCTTCCTCCATTCATGGGATTCAGCAAGTCTGGTGTTCATCAGAAGAACTATATCACACTCTGACCTCACTTCCTCAACCTCTTCTACTTGGCCAACTCTGTCTCCACTCTAGTTCAGAAGCCCCTTTGATGGCCATTGTTGGGATGTGTCACCATCTCCTTTTTGAGAACCTTTCACAACACAGCACATCTCACTGACTAAAACTTCCACTTCTCACTTTTCACTACTTGCTGACTTTCGCAAATGTGCTACACATCCTTCTCATAAATTTCAGTCTCTCATTTCCCTCCTCTCCACCCAGTTCTTAACCTTATGATCCTCCAGATTAATGATGCGCTTACTAGTATCTCGGGATCCACTGACACTGATTTCATTCCCCATCTAGGTTGCCAAAGCCTAACTCTGAGTATACCTAGCCACCTGTTTCTCTCAAATACTCTCTTCCCAGCATGTTGAATGATGCTGGAGAATATCATATTGACATGTTGATTTTGGAGGCAAAGATGGTTACTCAAGATCATGAGAGCATGGTTCTAGAACTCTTGGTGGCAAAACAAGTCAGTATGTTGGCAATGTACAGTGACCTCTCAGATGTCCATGTGGGGATAGGCGGAATTTTAGTTCAGTGCTTTCCATATGCTTCTGTTTTACTATATGATGTATTCATTTGGAAGTCTTTGTCACTTAGACTATATAATGCCTTAGTACTAGACATCTGTTTCAGATCATTGTGATCTAGCATCAGCAGTAAGTGCATATTCTTAGTAAACCTTTTATTTCAAAGGTTCCGGACTCTCGTGTGCATTAAGATCACTCACCTTCAGAGAGAATGATTTAGCAAATGCGGGATGGAGTTCAGGGATCTCATAAGCATATACCTGATGACTCAGATACCATGCCTTATTTCATTTTATGTAGCAGCAATACATTTTCTATGCCCCTCCAGAGAGCTGTCCCAAACCCCTTGCTCAGCTGATGTACTTTTCTCTGAATCCATTGGGAAAAACATGGGTTCATTAGCTATAATACCTTTTGTGCCTCTCCCATTCAAAAAAATTGCCCTAATTTTATCTGTGTTGTCCTCCTTTTCTTTCCTTCTTTCTAAGCCTAGCCCTGATGCTACTGTACTGTTCTAACCCCTCTAGGATCTCCACTGATTAATAATCTCCTCACACTTTCAATCTCTTCCCTCCATTGATTTCCTTCCCAGTGCTGATAAGCAACTTCAGGTCTTACCTGTCCTGACAAACATTCCTTTAGAGTTGTTCCACTTCAAATTCCTTGTTTTATCATTTGGGCCATTACAACAAGACTGAAATTAAGGTGCCAGTGTGGTTGGGTTTGGGTGAGGGCACACTTCCTGGTTTGTAGATAGCCATCTTCTTGCTGTATCTTCATGTGGCTGAGAGAGCTCCTATCTCTTTATCCCCCGTTAAGGACACCAGTCCCATGATGGGGACTGTGGTCTCAAGACTTCATTCAAAATCAGTTTCCTCCCAAGGGCCCCACCTCTGAATCCTAGCACATTGGGGATTAGGGCCTTAAACATACGAATTTTGGGAAAAACATAAATAAGCAATTCTGGGCAACCATTTCACTGGTTTTCTCCACATTCTTTCTTTTCTATTTGGGGAGAAAATAGTCAGCATAAAATCATATTACACTGAAAAAAATAAAACTAATTCAGAAATATTTAAATTAAAACATAAAAAACTCCCCTAATTCTAGCCCTCAGAGATAACCACTGCTAACAGGCTGGAATATATATCTGCAGAATTCTTTTTCAGTAGATCTATATAAATACTTTTTTCCCTTGATATTAGGTTAGTGGATTTTTTTCCACTTAATATATTCTGTTCATCTTTCAATGAGAATGTACAACTCCCAATAGGGGGCTTGAACACAGGACCCTGAGATCAAGAGTCAGATGCTTAACTGACTGAGCCACCCAGGCACCCCTGTATAACTCATTTTTTAATGACTGCATAACATTCCATTGTACAGATATGCCATAATTTA